CCATCCATCCATCCATCCATCCATTTTCTTTACCCGTTTATTCCATTTTGGGTCACGGGGGTCGCTGGTGCCCATGTCCAGCAATCACTGTGCGAGGGGCGGGGTACACCCTGGACGGGTCGCAAGTCCATCACAGGGCCACATAGAGACAAACGAGACAAACAACCATTCACTCTCTCACTCACACCTAGGGACAATTTAGAGTTACCAATCAGCCTAACATGCATGTTTTTGGATTGTGGGAGGAAACCGGAGTGCCCGGAGAAAACCCACGCATGCACGGAGAGAACATGCAAACTCCACCCAGAAAGGCCCCTGGATCGGGGTTTGAACCAAGGACCTGCTCGCTGAGAGGCAGCAGCTCTACCAGTTGCGCCACCGTGCTGCCCCTATATATATATATATATATATATATATATATATATATATATATTTAACCTTTAGTTATATAGACAGTATCATTGAGTCACGAGGGCTCATATCGAGAGGGATTTCTTTGGAAGCAGGTGGTGGTGGTTAAGGGCCTTGCTCAAGGGCAAATGAGGGTAGAGGCAGGTGTGGGTGTTTCACCTTTTCCACCTACCTTTTGATGTTGTTGAGCCGGCGACCTTCCAATCACGGGCCCACCTTAAGGAAGTCTGCTTTATGTCTACAACAGGGATGATGCCTTCTCAGAGAGCATTCAGAGGACTGACTGTGAGGCTAACAGTGGACTGCACCGCAATGACAGGAGCTCAGCGAGAAACGAGCACCAGTCTCCCTGTGAACACACACCTGTAAACCGCTTTGGAGCTCTGGGAAGGTGGGGGAATTTACAACCACGGTAGACAACGTGATGAAAACATTTATTCAAACAAAAAAAACATCAGTTTGTCCTCCTCTTTCAGGATGAGAGTTCGATCAGATGGATCTGCAGTTCCACGCAACAAGAACGGCGCGGACAGTCTCAGCCCAACCAGAGCTGCCGACCAGCCCCCCAGGGTTATGCCTCGGCCCTGCAGCCCACACAAAATGGCCGTTAGCAGGGCGCAGGCAGACAGCCCGGAGAAGAGGCGTCTCACTACGTTCGGCAGCGCCGGCTGCATCAACCACCCAGACAGAAAAGCGTTTGTCGACAGCCACTCCCAGCGATCGTCGCCAAGCACAACTCGACACGCAAGTTTAGGAGACCACAAAGCTCTTGAGGCTGAGGCGCTTGCTGAGGTGAGTATTTCTGAAAAAGTCTTAAATGTTTGTTTGTTTTGAGTGGTGGTGGGACAATCAAAGAAAACAAGACAAATTTACTGTTTCTGTATTATCAAATACTAAAAAGCTACTAGAGAAATAACTGATAAACTATTTACTTAACTAAGTCGGAGCAGAATAACTCATATTGGCTGTGAAATCTCAATACAGCAGTTTGTCGTTTATCATGGGGGATACATACCCTGAAGACCCGCGATAAGTGAAAAACCGCAAAGTAGTGATAGTAGTACAAGTAGTAAGTAGTAGTTTATTTTATTATTTGTATAGATATATATTAAGGCATTTTAAACCCTTCCAATACTCTTGCAGTATTCTAAACAGTGTTTCTAAACGCTATAAGAGCACAGAATGTTATGAGTTCAGCTCCTTGCCTCATCTGCTCTCAGCCACCTGCAAGCCACACCCACTTCTCCGCTCTGCACGGTGAACAGCTGATCAACTGCTGTAGGAAGTTTATCCTGCAGTATAGGCTGCACAAAGATGCAGCAAGTGCTAAATAATTTAAAATAATTTATTTTAAATACAAATTCCATGCCGATAGTGCGGTTCATCCATCAATCAGCCAAATGTGTGTCATGTCCAATCATATTTTGAAAATCCATGATAGAGCGAGTCCGCGATAAACAATTTGTGAAGTAGCGAGGGACTACTGTAAATCAATATCGACTTTTACAGCTCATGATAGATGCTGTATACTTGTTCTCTTGGCTGCAAATAATGTAACGCATTAATTCATTGTGCAAATGCTGATCAGCAGAAGCCTTTAGCTACTGTCCTGTGCTTTTAGCTAACGTTTTTTGCTACATTTTGCTTCTAACTAAGTTTTTTTTTCTACTTTTAGTTTAATTAGCTTTTTGGTGTTTGACCTAAATTTGTATTAGTTTGGCTTTTAGCTAATGTTCTGCTTCTTTTAGCGTGTTAAAAACTCACTTTCAGCCATTTCAGTCATTCTTCTCAGCATTTATGGGGTTCTTTTATGTAATTTTTTTTCCCATCTCAAACTTAGTTTTTCTTATTCTGTTTGTGCCAGGACATAGAGAAAACTATGAATACAGCGCTGCATGAGTTACGTGAGCTAGAGAGGCAGAACGTGGCCAAGCACGCCCCTGATGTGGTCCTCGACACTCTGGAGCCCCTCAAGCAGCCCGGTGGAGCCCAGGACGTGTCTGCCAGCCCCCTGCACACCATGGTCATCAGAGATCCAGATGCAGCCCAGCGGCGTAGCAGCAGCAGCTCTTCCTCCGAGACCATGACCACTTTTAAGCCTGCTCTGTCAGCACGTAGACCGAGTGCTCCTTTAAGGCCCCCGCCTGTCAGACCCGTCAGGCCGGCTCCTGTGATCGGACCGGGCCAGGTGCCGCACCGCTCCAGTAGCTCTAGCTCTTCTGGTCTGGGCAGCCCAGGCATTACCCCCACCGAAAGGATCTTCCCTAAAGCACCCTCCCCATCACCATCCACCTCCTCGTCCTCCTCAGACAAACAAGGCAACATGTAGCTTCAGTCTGTGTGAAGAAGCTAAAGAAGACTGTGGAAATGGACTGATACTATCATCACACCCCCACGTCTCTAACTGACTGCAAAACAAACATCTGATCTGTCTGAATATTTACCACTAACCTTGTGTAGACTACGACAGCTGCTTCTGGTGTTCACACTCACACTCGTAGCTCAAATCCACCGGGAGCACGTTGCTGCAGTGATAATATTACACTGAAATAGGATTTAAATCTATAGGAACCATTTTATAGACTGCTAACTTTGCTGAATTAAAGAAATCCGCCGGAAAATATTTCTGTTCGCTGAAATATGACCGTGAAACATCTCGTTGAAGTGTTATTAGATTACAGAGATGCCGTGAGCTCGTTCTGTGTCTGGTTTCCTGCTCCCATTATCACAAATCACTTGCGGGACTATTTCCCCACTTATCGTGCAGACATCCAGACTGTTCTGGTGGGACATAATGTCTTCAGTTGGAATACTTCCTTCAACACCACTTACACTGACAGAGAGGTTTGTAAAGAAAAGAAATAAAACTGTCCCAGTGTGTAAAAACACATGCAGACATCAAACATGTGGTTAAAAGCTGCAATTCTCCTCATGACCACTAGGGGCGCAGTTTGAATACAACTTTAAACCAGGCTTTTAAATATTCTGTTAAGTTGTGCAACCATTCTATGCATTATAGGTTTATATGAAATTATGTTTTGCCCAAATGAATTATTAAACATTTGGCAAATGTGCTGAGAAGTGGGCAGCAGTAAACACATCATCTTCTCTCACAGAGGGCTGCTGCAGATCTTTGTGTATTTCTGAAATCCGATAATAGTCTGTGTTTCAAAAGCTTTTTTTTTTTTTTATAAGTCCTAACTATAAAGACAAGGATTATTGTAGCTTTCATTCAGTTCATCTACAACCTCAGAATGGACCAGAGGTTGGTGTAGTAACACCCAGCTACAGTGAAGCACAGAATACTAACTGTTGTGACATGTATGCCATCTTTATAACTGAAAAAAAAGTCATGAGAGTGCTTATTATCCTATTATCTCTTTATAAAAATATTAGCTGTGTTACCTCAATCAAACAAGTGAGACACTCGCACAATTCAGTTGACTGATGCACTAAAAACATTACAGGGTCCTGTGTCTTCATCACGATGATGTCGTACTAGAAACAAGCGCGTTTAGACCCCGTCTTCATTGGATTTTTTTTGGTACGCTGTCGCTGCGGGCTGTGTGGATGTTGTGTACTGTTTTTCTGTCCCTTGAGGTGAATATATAAACTGTAAATGGTACATAGATCGAGATGAATTTACACCTACTGTTAAAGAATGCCTGTAAATATAACATTGTATCATAGGATGGGATATATTATCATCTGTAGCGTGTAGATTTTTGTAATTATCCTTGCACAGATAGTAGCAGAAGAATAAAGCAACAAAATCTCACATGCGTCTTTTTGTCTGTCTCGGGAGCTTGTTTAAAAAAATATTTGTGCAGACAGGGTTTAAAATGTACAGAAGAAAATATAGCATATTTAGTGAATACAGATGGAGCATCACTACAGTAATTGTTTTATATTTCTTCTACTTTAAACAGTAATATTTGACAAAAATAATCTGACAAATAACAGTGGTAACTATTTTGGTTAGATCAGGTTATAGTCATTTATGTTGTGTACTGTCAATTAGCTGCAATGACTAATGAAATGGGTTGGCTACCGAAGTTAATCAGTTGTAGATGTACAGTCAGTGATTACTTGAATGTTTAATTAAAATCCATACAGCAGTTCATGAGATGTTTTGCTAAAAGTTGATTCCAAAGAGTTGATGGCAAAATTTTATACAAAGTTTTTGTGCGCTCTGTTAACGCTCGGCATGTGTTGATTAATCGCAGCTAGTGCCACACATATTTTAAGTCAATACCTCTGACATAGACTGCATTTTGTCTCCATTTTGTAATACCAGTTGCTGAGGCACTCATTTTAATTCAAGTTGTGTCCAATAGGTAATAACATGAAGATGTACACCTAATGATTACTTTCTGCAAGTTGTATAAATACAATATTTGTACACACACAGACTACTAAACCATCAGGGATAATTAATGGCTCTTTACTGCCACCTGCTGGTCATTCGCAGCAAACCTCTTTATTATATAAAACTGCAGTGTATTGTATTAAAAAATATCTGCAATTTGCTAATGAATTGAAATCTGGTGGATGTGATACAGCAGTGTGATGATTAAAGTGATCCATATGATTTGGACCTCAGCAGCTTCAGTTACTGCTCGTGCCCTCTGGATGGAGACAGTGTCATCCGTCAAGTAAACACTGAAATGCTTTGCTTTGGAAAAGTACATAAAAAGGTTAAGAGTTTTGTGTGTTCGTTCTTATTGATGTCCGCATGAATGCAAGAAACTGAACGTGAACCAAAACCTCACCGCAGAAAATATAAGTGATGGTAAACACACACACGCACCTGTTTTCTTTAAACGGGTCAACCAACCCTCCAGTGGATGACATGATAAATGGGAAGTGCTGAAAATAGGAAAGAGTAAAGTTCTGCTCCTTCGTTGTTCACCTGGATGTTTCTCCTTATGAGATGGTTTGATTTTTTTTAAGTGGGGTTCTGTGAGTAGATATAGCTACATGTGTCTTAACGCAAACGTTCATATCATTTGAAGTGCGGCTATGGTGAAAAGGTCAGTAACAATTAGCATCTTACCTGCTGTGGATAGCTCTTTATGTGATCTCAGTTTGCAGAAATATAGTTAAATTCTGACTGGACTTACAAGTTCACAGCTAGCCCTGGCAAGGCAGAGACCAAAGTGAATTGCTGCCATCACAAAACAACTAAAATTTCTCAGTATGAACATTTTTATAGTGGTGCATGTGAACACTATTTTAGACACATTGTTATCATGGTCAGTTTCTCATTTCAGGGAGTTTTACATCAACATGGTTGTTTGCCGACATATATAGATGGCAATAGCAGCAGCTGGCTGTAGTGTTTGCAGTCCGACTTGGGGTGATTTAAACAGGAATATCAAAAGATTTCTGCTGGAATAAGCGAATAGTCAAGAAATGACAGCAGTGGAAGAGCTTCTGTGTGGACTACAATAAAATGATTAAGATTGGAGTTATCTAAGATGATGGCAATCCACTTTGCTCTTGGCCTTGCTTGGACTATTAACTCGTCAATATGGTTTAAGGTTTCTTTATTTGTCGTTCGCACCACATGTGATACATGTGGTGAAACAAAATTGTGTACACAGGGTCCCAGTTACAGCCAACAAAAGTATAAACTGTAAAGAAAAACAGTAATTAGGTCTAAGATATGAACTAAGAAATACACTAAACGAAGAATGCACTAAGCACTAATAGTACAAAAACAATACGCCGAACAACAGCAACATGAACACGAGTCTGTGTGAGCAGATGAGTACGAATGAACACAGCAGCATGAAATAAATCAGCAGCATGAGATCAGCAGCATGGATAGTCAGCAGCCCGTCTCAACAATCAAGTGGAATTACAGTGATTTTTTTTCACAGTGATTATCCTGACTAGGGATTCATGAGTGTAGCAGCCTCGGAGTAGAAGCTGTTCCTCAGTCTACTGGTTCTACACTTAATGCTCCTTAACCTCCTTCCTGAGGGGAGCGGGGCAAAAAGTGTGTGCTGGATGAGTGGGGTCCTTCAGGATGCAGGTGGCTCTCTTCCTGCATCTGGAGGTGTAGATGTCTGTGATGGTGGGGAGGCAACTCCAACAGACTTCTGTGCAAACTTCACCACTTTCTGCAAAGCTTTTCTTTCTGCAGCTGTGCAGCCTCCATGCCACACGTTGATACTGGAGCACAGGATGCTCTCCACTACACACCTGTAGAAGGAGGGGATGACTGACTTTCCCAGTCCAGATTGCTTCAGCTGTCTGAGGAAGTAGAAGTAGGGATTAAGCTTGTTTTTTTCCCCCAAAAGGAGATCTTTGTTTCTACAAAAAGATGTCCAGAAAGGGATAATTGTTTATAGCCTTTCCACAGAAGCCCACATTAAAATATCTGAAATATTGCTTTAACATAACAAGGGAGCTGTAATGTACTTGTAAATCATGCAAACTGTTCTAACAAGTCTTAAATAAATCTTGTAAATACAAAGACACCTAAATTAAAAAAGAAGAGCTATAATAAATAGTATTACTTTAATGTTTCAGTTTGTCAACAGTATTATAAATGAAAACAACACAATAAGTGTTTGATTCTTCCTTCTGAAGCAAATCTTGACAGGTGTTTTAATAAAGATATATTTGTTTGACTGCCTCCCCCACCCCCTCCTGTCAGCTTTAATTCATTTAGTTGTGTTTAATGAGATTTAAGTGAGAATATAATCTGATTAGTAGGTTCAACCAGGACTGAATGGCTCTGCGAAGAGGGAGCAGACTACCTTTAGATTAGCTCTCAGCTCTCTGGCGATGGCTGTGTAGTTAAAAAGGCCTTTTTATTAATGCCCTGATACGATTCAGACCAGCAGCTGAAAACTGTGCTTCATTCTTTGTTATCCCAGACAACAAACCATACAATTTCTGATCATGAAGCTATGTAATAAGAGTTGTTGTGCAAATTTATTAATTTAAAAAACAAGAAGCCTTAGTGGTAAATATTTAAAAAACAAGAAGCCTTAGTGGTAAATTCAATGTATTACACACTGATCTGTTCAGCAAGTTAGAGAGATGCAACACTTTCTGAAAGATTTATTTCTATTTGTGCTTTAGGCCTTACATTGACAATGGAGCTTTGCATCAATAACAGCAAAACCCAAAATGTCACAAACTTTCACAGACTGAGCTGGGAAACATCACAGGACAGAAAATAAACCCAGAGATGGTTTATGGATGAAGAAAGAAAAATACCTGTTAGATACATGTACTTGTTTTGTGATAAATTAAATGTCTTAATTTTTTTAGAAAATTGAAACAAAGCCAGAAGTGTAGACCAAAAAGTCCCCCCCCCCCC